AGATCTTCACTCATGTGCCTCCCTCAATGGCCACCAGAAAATATATTTATTGGATGCCACCTCAAAACTAGGCAACTTGTAATGGATTTGGGGACCTGGCTTCAGCCCACTGTCACCATGACTTTCATGAGTTTTATTGTCATTGCCACTACTGCCACTACAGACAATGAATTAGGAAAAACCTGTTACTGCCACATCAAATGATAGAACCAAATAATTTTGAAAATCCTAGAAAGGTATGTCATATTTTAGACTCAAGATGAGAGTAGGGCTTTGGTCATTTTCTTCTCCTAAATCAGAGCAAGCTCTCAACTGCTGGGCTCCAGCTCAGATTCATGGTCAAAGAACTGGGCTTTGTGGCCTTAAGCTTTCTCTACCTCCACTCCTCTCTTCCAAATTGTGAGAAGTGGACACTGTTGATGTCTGTGGTAGAGGCCCGGATATCCCTTCAGGAATGAAGGGCTCATTTCCCTAGCTGCTCAGTGAGCTACTACTGGGCAACAGCCCTCAGCTCTCAGCCTTCTTGGGGAATTGCCGTGGCTGTAGGGAGCTGCCTTGCCCAGGGCAGCCCTCATCCAATGACTGGTCCACATGGGATATAAAGACCCTTCCCCTTTGTCCCAAATCAGGATAACTCTGTCTTCAAAGCTCCCTGAGGGGTCAGCTGGGGCCTTCCTTGAAACTGCATTGCAGGCAAGTGAACTTCTCCCTCTGCCCACTCCTGCTTCCTTCCCATCCCCCCACAGGTGTTGATTTCAAGAGCCCTTCCTGAAATACTTCTTACATACTAATCTCCATCCCAGAGTCTGCTGCCTGGAACCAAACCTGTGACAAAGCCCACCCTGTATCCCCTCAGCTCACCTCCGTTGACTTACAGCTGTGGTAGACCATCTGGCCCACTGACAGCTTCCAATCTCAAGCACCCACTTCTCTTGGGGTCTCTGCCTGGGACTCCTCAGCAATACAGGTTGCACACAGTACAACCAGGGAGTTAACACCCCAGAAAGGGCCCGGGATAAATGCCCAGCCTCCCCATGCTTGGGTGGGACAGTTCTGAGGCATGTTCCACAGTTTCTCGGAGAGCCCCTGGAAGGACTGAGTCTCCACTGTGCCCTCCAGCCCCCCTCATCCATGTGCCCTTTGTTGGCTTTCTCCTTCTCTGTCTCACTTCTCCACTCCCTGCTTCTGCTTCCTGGGATCACCTCCCAATAAGCCACCAGCATCGAAGTTCTGGTCTTAGAGTCTGTGTGCAAGTGATCTGAAAAAAACCGAGACGTTCTTATTTCTGTTTCTCTTTCCGAACTGTGTTGGAAACTCACCTTCCCGGGGGCAAAGGCAAAGGTGCGCTTGCTGGAAGGGGATCATGAGTCACGGTGAGTGTGTCAGGAGGACAACAGGGCAAGAGTGCTGAGGACACACGCTGGACCAGCCCCCGCAACATCTGGCTAATGTCGAGATATTTGATGATGAAATTTATTAAGAGGAGATTGACTTAAATGACATCCTTGTTCCATTTTCTTGTGAAGGAACTCCCCAGGGTGCTCCAGGGGCTGAATGACAACAACGGCTGTCACTTACAAACCCTTACCCTGTGTCCGCTACGGGGAGGAACACTGCGCAGGATCCCACTCATCCTTCGAGGTCATTAAAATCATCCCCGTTTTCACAGATTTGGAAATTGAGACTCAGAACGGCATGTAACTTCCATGGTCACACCACTAATCAGCTAAGAGCCAGGATTCAAATCCAGACCAAATCACTTCAAACCCAAATTCCTAATCCGGAGGCAAGAGGCCCTTAAAATGTGTACGTGCCCAGGCAAGCAGAGTCTGCACAACTTGCGTCTATGATGTGAAGAGGAGAAATGAAACGGTTTGGTGTGTTGCAGGGATGGGTATTAGGGCAGGCAGGAAAAGGGTTAACAGAGTCCCAAAACTCTAACAGCAAAAATATGGTGAGGAGTTTAGAGAATGAGAAAAGAGATAAAATAACCACAACATCTTCCAGGTCAGCAGGCAGCCCTTGAGAAACGTGTTTGGTGCCAGTCTAAGCAGGCTGAATATGAGCCGACCTGAGGAGGGACTCTGGTGTCAACACTGTGCCCCCAGATGTCACCTCTCAACCAATATTTATTGAGTGCTCCTGAGCTGGAGATATGCAAGTAAACAGAAAAAGCAAGTGCCCTGACCCAGAGAGCAAGTCTACTAGTCAGCAGAAACTGGCAATAAGCAAATAAATTGATATATTCTAGACCTCCGACAGTAATAAGAGCTATGAAAAAATTAAAATGGGCGTGCACTAATAGTTGATCATGGCAGGGGCGATCTTAGATTGGGCAGCAGAGAAGTCTTCCCCTGGAAGGTCACATTCAGGGAGACAGACACGCGAGAGGCCAAGCGTTTTGGGGAGGGAGAAGCAGTACAAAGGCCGTGCGATTCTGGGGAGCAGCAAGCAGGCCAGTGTTGGGGCGCGGAGTAAGCAAAGAAGAGAACAATAAGAGCTGAGGTCAGTCCCTGCCCCTTGAATGAAGACATTTTCTTGAAACCAATAACATCCAAGCCTAGGAAAGTTTAAACCTCTTCCCCAAATTGTGCAGCTGCCTGTGGACCTAACGTTCCCCAAGTCTTTGTGCTCCAGCCGCTTCGTCCTCCGTTGCTGTGTTGGTTTCACCTGGTGACAACCAAGAATTAATCTATCGCAGTTTTCTGTAAGAAATTAACCACACAAGCATTTTATGGCTATTACATATATTAAGATTTGGAGGTATGTGAGGGAAGGGTCACGTTATCCAGCCCACACCATTCTGCCCTCTCCCTAGCCCCTCTTTTTTTTTTTTTTTTGGTGAGGAAGATTAGCCCTAAGCTAACATCTGTCGCCAATCCTCCTCTTTTTGCTGAGGAAGACTGGCCCTGGGCTAACATCCATGCCCATCTTCCTCCACTTTATGTGGGACGCCGCCACAGCATGGCTTGACATGTGGTGCATTGGTGCGCCCCCAGGATCCAAACCCTGGGCCGCAGCCGAGCGCGCGCGCTTAACCACTACGCCACATGATGGGCCCTGACCTCTCACCCCCTTTCCCACTCTCTTCCTCATCTTCTCCCCCTAGCTCCACCAAGACAGTCCTTCTCCCATTCCACACTCTTCCTTTCTCCAACCCTAGAAACTATTTCTACCCCAAGCGGAAGTCTTAAAAGCATTTCTCCACAAAGGTAGATCTCCCTGAGAGGAATTCTAGAACAAATGCTAAGAGAATAAAATGTTCTGCATCTCATACTCCCACCCAGGGAAGATATGTGGGAACAGCACTGGAACCTGGGGACTTGATCTCAGGATGGGAAGAACGTCAGTTTCCAGCCGTCAGGGTCGGCTGGCACACAGAGCTGCGTGGTGTGTGCATCTTGCGTCTAAAGGAAAAATTAGGTCAGCTATAAATGGAGAGGACACGAACCCCATGAAGTCAGCAGATCTCTGCTGGGCTTCCTGGGGAATGATCTATGTTACAGAGCTGTGGAGGTGTCCTTGGAACACAGGACTCCAGACGGGCATTTAACAGAAAGATAGCTCGGCTTGCTTTCCAATAAATACACACATCGCTTTAGTGCTGGGTCTGGGAAGGTGTGTGTTTAGTGGGATGCTTTATTTTTCTTTTGTAACCTGGATCAGGTTGTAAGATAGGAGATGGTTTTCAGAAAATAGGCCCTAAATAAACATAAATAGTCCCCAGCCTATGGTATCTTTGTAACAAAGTTCTTTTTCCCTCTGCCTCCACCTCTCCCATTCTTCCACCTTGGAGGTACAGTTGTAATTATAACAGTTGCCATTTACTGCACCCCTAATATACGCCAAGACATTATCTCTAACCTTATAAGACGAGATAGTTAATACTATTTCCATTTTACAGATGAGGAAACCGAGGCTCAGGGAGGTTGCTCAGGGAAGTCCCCACATAACTGAAACGGGGAAGTGCCTGAGTCCTTCTGAATTGATTTCCCATTGTCTTCAAAAGAGAATGTCCTCGGCCTTACTTGATTCCCAGAGAGAATAAATTCTCTCTTTTCTCTAAAAGTGGCTTTTGCAAGAACAACCCCAGGACAACCCCTTGATTGCGCTTCTTCCTGGGCAAAGTCAGGGTGGTTCAGGTCACCAAGTTGTCCTGAGCACCTGCCGTGGGAAGCTCAGTACCTAGAAAGAGCACGGGGTGCAGGGCAAGTGCAGGATGGAGGTGTCCAAAAAACAAGAGATCAGGCTCCACTTTCCCAAATTTCAAAGTCTAATGAGCTTTTAAGCATGACTCTTTGGTGACTTTACTAAGCTATCAGAAGAATCCAGGGGCAGGAAAGACACAATTCACATGCCACATACCTCCTCACCCCTCCCATCCTCTATAGCTCACACTGGGGCTGGTTGAACATTGTTCTGTTCCATATCCTCCTCACTTTGCTGTTGTAGGATCCAATAATATAGTGTTTGTGCAAGTATTTTGTAAACTCTAGTAAATCCCTGCCAAGCACCATTAGGGAATGTTGTATAAGCCTTAGTCAAGGCCACTATATGCCTGTTTTAAAATCTTCATTGGGTGCGCACCTCACATGACCGGGAACCAGGGAAGGAAAGGGTTACTGAGAATCTGATCCATAACTAATGTGGTCTGTCAAATGTTTTCCAGACAGGGAGAAAACTAAATGTGCTGTTTTTCAGGGGCTGATGTCCCCATTTTTGCAGATACTGCCATCCTACAGTGAAACTTACACGGTTGCAGCAAGACCTCAGCAAATTGCTCCAGCTCTAAGAGTCCATGGTCCCATTATGTAATGACATGTTCCTTGACCTCGTTATGTAGCGTCTCGCACATGCACCCTGATTGGACTCAGTTGTTACACAGTTGTAACATATCCTCTGCTCTCTGGTGTATAAAGTCTCCACTGGCACTAGGCTTGGGGGGACACTGCTTTGGGAGATATCCCCAGTGTTCATTGCTTGCACAAGAAATAAACCTATTCTTCACCCAATTCATCTTTGGTTGTGCTTTTTGGCTCCACACTCACCAAGAGACAGACCCATTGAGTTCGGTTACACTAAGTTGTAACCACCATATAACAAGAAATATTCATTGACCTCATGTTGTGCCAACTTCTAAGAATTCTCAAACATATTCTATCTAATCCTTTAAACAATCCTATGGGGTAGGTATTATCATCTCCATTTTATAGGAGATGTTATGAATTTAGTCCCTAAATAAGACACCGTAGGTGAATTAGGTATATTGCTTTCTAGAATCGGGTATTTGGAATGCTGTATCAAGTAACTTTCTTGATTAAACTATATCCTTCAAGGAGTTAGAAGAAAAAGAGTATGGAGAAGAGCTCTTAGGGAAGCCAACTGTTTAACAAGGGCCCCTTAACTAAATCCCCAAAACCCTAAATCACAGAAATGTCATAAAACCATCTAATGCCCCCTCACCACCATGGGCATGGACGGTTCCTAGACGAGATGCTCTGAAAAGGTCATTTGCAGCCAATATAAGCTTTGGGGGGAAAGAGGACTGGGCTGCGATCTATGAATGTATCAGACCCAGGCTGGGGACCACCAAGGCAAAAAACATCACGCGTTATTCCTGTTGTGTCAGACTCTACTTGGCCCCTCCCTGGGGCCCGCTCTCTTCTGCATCCCCCACACATCTCACCACAAATCAACCCAATGTGGGAACTTTGTGTTAAGAAAAGGCATTAACAATAATAGCAGTGTTCAATTACTGAGGCAGGTACTGTTCTGAGTGATTGACATGTACTTGGCTGTTAATGCTCACAGGTACCTATGAAACACTGTTATTATCCCATCTTACAGATAAGAGAACTAACGCACATAAAAGAGAAGGAACTTTCCGAAGCTCACCCAGATTTTGAAAAGGAGAGCTGGGGTGGGAACCCGAGTAGTCCAATGTTGCTGCTTTAGAGACTGTTTCATTATTTTAAAAGATCATTTTATTCTGGAAAATTCCAAGCATCCAGGAAGATGATAGCTGAAAATGTGGTAATAGGTGAATATGTCTCCAGAAAATCAAGTCATTGTTCAGCCTAGAATTGGATTACAAAGGAAAACAGTGGCTAGTCCTCACCCACAACAAGCACAGTTTTAAAAAGAAAGGCAAAAAAGGGGTCTGCCCAGTGGTGTAGTGGTTGAGTTTGCGTGATCTGCTTCAGCGCCCCGGGTTTACCAGTTCGGATCCCCGGCATGGACCTACACACCGCTCATCAAGCCATGCTGTGGTGGCGTCCCATATACAAAATAGAGGAAGATTGGCATGGATGTTAGCACAGGGACAATTTGCCTCAAGCAAAAAGAGGAAGACTGACAACAGATGTTAGCTCAAGGCCGATCTTCCTCACCAAAAATAAAAAAGAAAGACAAAAAAGATTTAGGGATGGAGCCAAAAGCAAGAGTCCCAACCTGGGAGTCCAGACACCCTTGTAACAGTATAATGAGAGCCACCATGTAAAAGCAAGCATTTGGTGCCAGCAACTGAGGTAGGGCTTTAAAGCATCGGCTCCTCGGGTGCTCCCAATGCCACTGGAGGGAAGTCGTGTGCCAGAGGCCGCTTAGCCAGTGAGAGGGCGAGCGGGGATCTGAATGCTTTTCTGTGGAAGGCCAGAGCTGGGGCTTTGAATCGCTTGCTATGCATTTTAGAAATTTGAGGCAGAAAGTCAGTTGCAGCTGCTTAAGGACCATGTTAACAGAGCTAAAGGTTTGGAGCCAAGGGTCATGCTGTTGGAGCTAAGGATACTGGCTCCATTCCCGAGGTGGGCTGCTTCTCCAGCAGAGAAGAAAAAAGTGGAGGATCACTCGACCTGTAAGGACCAATGCAAACCTATCTCCATCCCAGGAAGACCACTCCAGGAGGAGATCTTACCAAGATCAAATAAAGACACTCCTCAGCTTATAAAAGGAAGTAGTTCACTATTGTATGTTAATTATAATAAACTCACTGGTCTTAGTAAACCAGAGTGGGAAGACAAATACTATGCCTACAATTCTAATTTTAAATAAAAACATCCTCTATAATTTGTCTGTGATTCTTATGAGCAAGTTTATTGTCACATAAAAGAATGAGAGTTGACTATATTCTGGAAAATGTTGCCTTAAATATTTTAACTGAAGTCCTTCTCTCTAGTGGGTCATTTAGCCACTAATCATTTATTAAGTAACTACAACTCAACTGCAAATGTCATAAGTGGGCATAAAATTGTTAAGCAAACACCAGAATAAAATCTGGTAGGAACAGCGAGGGACACACCTGAATCTAGTTGCTGAGCGGGAGGGTGGCACTGACAGTCTTGCCTGGGAAGCCACCAGAGAATAAGGGCCTGCCAGGGAGCAGGGGCTGGGAAGTCACTCTTCCGGACCAGAACTTTTCTTTTCCCACCAAACTCTAGTAGAACTATAAAATTCCCCCCAACACTGCCAGCACCAACAATGAGAAGGATAGTCTATTTGCTTGTTGTTTTTAAACAGCTAGAAGATTTACAGGACGAGGACATTGCCTCTCCAGCAACTGCACAGACTTGTCAAGGGCAAACAGGAACACCAACAGCTAGGGCATTAGAAATGCAGCGGATAAGAAAGATGCTGTGATGTCAGATGGGAACTCGAAGTCCTTACAGGGAGGGGCCCAACACACAGGATCAAGATCCCTAGAGTCCCATGCTGAGGGCATCAGAGCTAGCGAAGGGGTGGCGTCAGCAGAATACACCAGATGTTTTCACCGCTCCAACACGCTGGTGACGATGTGTGCTGCCCATCAAATCTGCAAGCACACTGAAATTAATTGGTTTTCTTTTTGTTGCTTGGCTACACCTGTGCTTAGTAAAAGGAGCCTAGTGTAGTTTCAGTTGTTTCAACTGATCCTTTTGCTGATTCTACAAATCTCCAGTTTAGAAGCCCCTCAGGCACCTTTGAAGAATCTTACCAAAATGAGGTAGACCCAGGTGACAATGACTATCAAGATCCTGGGGCCTCGATGGGTCCAAGCTCTAGGTAACCAGCCACTCTTAAGTTAAAGTGTTTCAGACAAAGGGTGAGATAATGGGAGACACTTGGGGGTCAAGGTCTCAGGGGTCAAACATACTAAAATTAACTGACAGGTGACCCCTGCATGCATGAGGGAACAGTGAGAGGGTACATGTTCTTTATCCCTGGGGAACTTCTTAATGTTGTAGAAGATGAGTAACTGCACTAGAGGAAATTGGTTAATAAAGTAAAAATGTAAATGCAGTGAAGCTTTGGAGTCAGAAAAATCTAGATTCAAACTGAGCTCTGCCACACAGTAGCTGTGCGTCCTTGTGCAACTTATGATTCTGGGCTTATTTTGAGCCAGAGTTGTAACAGTGAAGCACTTGCCAGGGCTGGCTGCACTGCTCCTTCATCTATTTGCTACTTTGTTTACATTAACTCCCTGTCCCCTTCAAATGAGAGCCAGATACTATTACATACTCTTTAAGTTTCATCTCCCCTCATTGTTACCTCTATATACTTTTAACACTTTATTGCGAGTTTTAAAAATAAACACTTGATCACAAAAGGAAAAATACTATATGAGGTACCTGGAGTAGTCAAATTCATAGAGACCGAAAGTAGAATGTTAGTTGCCAAGAGCTGGGGGAGGGAAGCATGGGAGTGTTTAACGGGTATAGAATTTCGCTTTTGCAAGATGAAAAAAAGTCCTGGTGATGGATGGTAGTGATGGTTGCAAAACAATGTGAATGTACTTAATGCCATTGAAATGTGCATTTAAATATGAGTAAAATGGTACATTTTATGTTATGTATATTTTATCATAATTTTTTGACAAGGTTTTTTTTTTTTTTCTTTTTGTGAGGAAGATCAGCCCTGAGCTAACATCCATGCTAATCCTCCTCTTTTTGCTGAGGAAGACCCACTGAGCTAACATCCATTGCCTAATCCTCCTCCCTTTTTTCCCCCAAAGCCCCCCAGTAGATAGTTGTATGTCATAGTTGCACATCCTTCTAGTTGCTGTATGTGGGACGCGGCCTCAGCATGGCCGGACAAGCGGTGCGTCAGTGTGCGCCCTGGATCCTAACCGGGGCCACCAGCAGCAGAGCACACGCACTTAACCGCCAAGCCACGGGGCCGGCCCCTATCATAATTTTTAAAATAGAAAAAGAAAAGAATTAAACACTTGACTCACTCTCACGATATTTACCTAAGAGATTCACCAGAATAGAAATATCTGTCACATCCAGACCCACCTTAACGCTGTTTTCTAGGAAGGATTGCACTGAGGAAATACACCCTTTTTTTTTCCTGGGCAAGGAGGATATATACAATACCCAGCAGAGGGCAGAAGAGAGTAAAGGTGGCATTTCCCCCTGAATTTTGGTTTCCTGAGCATTCTTTCTTCTCTAATTTGCTGTCTTAAGTTGTTGTCTTTAACAGTGAAACTCTTGCTAAGACAGCCACCTTAGAAGACAGAGGATAAACAACTCTCCCATTGAGTATATTGGTTAAATTATCACATGAAAATAATTGCTCAGTGCTGGGTTTTCTGGTGGTAACAGAGTTCCAACTTAGCTGGTCGTTTTTGTTTTATTTCGGTTGTATATCATTTGCCCAGATGATTTTGCAAAGTACGAATAATTTCACTGATGTTCCCACAAAAGGACACTGAGAAGTGCACTGTCTCGCGGAAACCCCATAGTAAAACTGATGGGACTCTGGTTTTTAGGCGTTTTCCTTCCTCCCAGCTGAGCCACATTGCCATAACCATATGCCGTAAAAATGCTGCCATTCCCGTTACCTTACACTGACAAAATATCTTTCCCTTACCTTGATTTCCTACAACATATTTTCCAGTTATCCTTGATGGGCTATAATTACTTTGAGGAGATTGCTTTTTGGCTTAAAAGGATATTGCTGTTTTATTATTTTAAAATACCAAAGGAATCATTTTCAAGAAGAGAGCAGCATTTTCACAACTAGGATTTTCTCTCTTCTCTCTTGAAGGAAGCCAAACCCTTCTCTGTCACATCATAAGGGTGCAGATTGTTTTCTGACTTCTGGTTTCGAACAGCCTGGGAGTCGCACGGATGGCATGTGGACGTATGAGGAAGGTTTTGTTTAATGGCAACGAGCATGAGCTCTCTCTGCCTTCTCTCTTGGCTGCTGCTGGGCATTGTGTTAAAACTGCGGTGGTAGCAGTGTCTGCCCAGGCATTTCTGGTTCTTCCGTTTATTTAGGTAATTTGGATGCAGATAGCCTTCCTCTTTCATGCATTGAATATGATTTGAGTCCCCAATATCCGTTATTATTTCACCTGCCTTGAGATGGGAATTGTAAGAGCCCTGATACATGATTTGAAAGGCTAATTTCCGTAAATACCTCTGTCGGCTGTTAACTTGCAATTTTATAACTTCTAAAACATTCTGAAACTCCTCTGTGCATATCCTCCAGTGAGTTGACAGCCACGTGTCCCTTGCATCAATTCTGACCAAAAAAAAAAAAAGAAAAAGAAAAGACAAAGAACTATTTTTCTCTTTCTCTGGCAGAGGAAGAATACCGCTCTCAAAGTCCAGCATGTGTGAATAATGAAACTTTTTCTATAGAATAGAAATGATGGGGGAGCTCATCACAGTGCACACTAGGATGGGCTTAATTCATTTAATTTCTGTCTCCAGAATGCCCCATTTTCCTTTCTCAGAGTCAAGGTGAGGGTAGAGTGGGAGGGAACAACGATCAGAAACTAAGAGATCAAAAAAGAACAACTAAAGGACTAAACAGCCCTAGGTTGTTTCAGAAGCTGAAAACCCTCTGAGATGATGGTCCGTGTGTTGTGTGTTATGTGAATGTTTGCTGCAACATAAAGATATGTCAATGCCATCTCTAAGCTCAGTCGCCCTTCTGTCCCTGGCAATCGGTTGGTTTGTAATAAGCTTCAGGAAAACCAGCTTTCGTGTGGAGTTCACCACATTTAGCAGCTCTATAAGAGTTACTTTCATAACCCTAAATCCAGAATTTCCATGAGGAGAATCTAAACAAACTGTATAGACTAAATAAACATCATTGTGGGGAAGGAAGTCTCCAATATGGAAATCGTGGTGACACAAACATTGGCAGGAGTTGCATGCTACAGTAAATTAAAATGTAAACAGCTTTCCTTGATAGAAAATCCCATATGGAAAATGGAATCTGGCTATAGAATACAGATGACACAGAACACCATGTCTCTGCACTGAGTAGGAAAGCTAAAGAAGGCAGGGCAGGGACGCTTGTGTTTATCCTGTCTGTATGGTGGAGGGTGACCTTGTCATGTTGAACTCCATTATGGAAGGTGGGTGTGCAGCTCCCCAGATACACATTTCCACTTTGGCTCAGTCTTGCTGCCAGGATTTGTTTCCTTGTGTCCCACCTAAATTCCTCAAAATAGAGACTTCAGCTTCTAACAAGGGGTATGGGAAAGGATCTGAATCTATATTGAGTGTTCCCTATATGCCAGATACTAAAAGAGTTCAATTAAAAAACAAAAACAAAAAAAAGTACAGAAAATAATTTAAGAAGCACTGTCTCCAGATTAACAAACGTCAATATTTTGTTCTACTTGCTTCAGATCTTGGTGCATTTGTATAAAAGATGCAAAATATCCCAGTTAAAACGGAAGCTCCGTTTCCCTGATCCTGAGTCCCATTCTCCTCCATTCCTCCCCGAGGCAGAGAAGCTGCCATCCTGCATTTGATGAGTATCATGTTCATGTGGATACATTACCATTGTATCTCATTTAGTCCTTCCAACAGCTCTTTGAAAAAGGATATTCTCTCTCTGTTACAAATGAGGAAAATGACACCCGAGAAGATCAGTATTTGCCCACGGTCACACAATGAGTAGGTAAAAGAGTTGAGATTCAAAGCCAGGTTGCTTTTATACAAAACCGGTGCCCTTTTTACTGCACCCTAGATCCACAGGAACTGGTCCTCTTCCTCACATCACCTGAAGACTGTAAGGATTCTTCCCAGCTGAATCATTTCACCTGTTTGGATCTTGATTCATGAGCTTTACTTTCTGATTCCTTAATGGAACCATTTTCAAATTTTTGCCGTTGGGGTTTGTGAAGCCCAAACATGAACCTGATCAGGGAAGGATAAAGTGGGAGAATTACACTCTCTTATTACATGTGCTTGGACATCCTGTCTGTCTTTAAATACATCACTGGTGCATGGTTGCCTTCCTGAGGGCCAACCGTGCATCCCATATTTCACCGATCCCATGCCATGAGGGAGCTCTCTGTGAAGTGGCTTTTAAAACCTCTCCATGGATGCTTGTCATTTGTTTCATAGCCATAACACTCAAAAAAGTCTTTCAGAGAAAGGTGGGACAAAAGCAAAGTACAGCTTAAGATTCAACAGTGGCTGCTCTATACACATTTAAAACATACTTTTGCAAAGCAATTTGGTAATACATATCATGAACCATAAAACTATCCATAATGTTTGACTTTAAGAACTACATTCTGAGGGCCGGCCCCGTGGCTTAGCGGTTAAGTGCACGCACTCAGCTGGTGGCAGCCCGGGTTCGGATCCCGGGCGTGCACCCACGCGCCGCTTCTCTGGCCATGCTGAGGCCGCGTCCCACATACAGCAACTAGAAGGATGTGCAACTATGACATACAGCTATCTACTGGGGCTTTGGGGGAAAAAATAAATAAATAAAATTATTAAAAAAAAAAGAACTTTAAAAAAAGAACTACATTCTGAGAATCTATCCTAAGGAAGTAACCAAATAGTGTGAAAAGCCACATTCAAAATACTTCTTAGTTCTATTATTTATGATAGTAAATTCTGGAAGACAACTAATGGTCCAGCAAATGCATTAGATGTACTATAGAAGGACTCCTCTATTGAATCATGTATTGTCATTAAACTGATAATTTTGAAGAAAAATAAGCCTCCCATCCTCACTTTGCTAATTAGCTGTGTTAAATTTGGCAAGCTAGTTATTCTGATTTTCAAATTTTTTCATTTGAAATATGCAAAATACTGAGATCTACCTAAAGAATTTGAGAAAATTGAATGGGCTAAAATATGAAACAACTTATCCCACTTACTGGTACCAGGTGGTGCTCAATAAATTGTATCTAATAGAATTATTATCTATGAAAAAAGTATAGATTTATTGCAATTACTACAAAATATGTCAATAAAAGAGACTGGATTCAAATATAGAAAAAGATAAGAATCTAATGTATGTTGTGTGCTTTTTACTACAATAAAAAAATTGGAAGAATCTCATTTCATGTAATGTTGTAGGGGAGGGAAGATTTTTCCTCAACCCTCTTAAGTATTTGGGGGCCTGAAAATTAAACAAATTTACAGCTTAACAGGGGGGGAAAAAGCTTATTTATATGCACATAGAAATGCACAAAAGAAGTGGTTCTCTAAACAGTAAAGATGGGAGTTTAAATAACTAACTTAATGAGGGGAAATGGGAGAAAAGGATTTTGTGGGTGGAACAATTGGATTTCTAGGGGGAACAAATGAGAGATAAGAAAGTTTGTGATAATGTTTGTTTATGCAAGTGGAAGCAGTCTTCTCAGGTTTTTTTCCCTCATGGCCATAAAACTCCCTTAGAGAGGAGATTCTTAGTAGCCTTGCTCCCAGAAATTTTTGCTTTTAGTGATAAAGTTTCTTTCTGCATCTGTTGAATTTCAAATGTCTTTCCTTTAAAATAATCCTTATATCAATTCTGGGGGCTTAAGTGGGTCTCTACATTGGCATTAAAACACTTTCCCTCCTATATATTAAATAAACTTGCTGTAATATTGTTAGGCAGATTTTATAAAGTTTTAAAATAAAGTGATATTTTCTAAGCTGTTACTGTGTAAACTGTGACAGAGGAAGCCTTTTCAATCCAGGAGAAAAAAGTTCTAGCATAGTCTAGACAGTCTAGCACAGTCTAGATTCAGAGACCATTGCAGTGGTGAAAAGAGCCCTGGACTGCTAGCCCAAAGACCTCTAGTCACATCACAGGAACGGTGTTCACCTCCCGTGTCCCACCGCCCAAGGGACTGGGACCTGCTGGTCCTCAGTTTCCTCACCTATAAAATGAGGATGATATAATGTCTAATTTGCAGGTTTCTTAAAAAGAACTGGGTAAGATCTATGGAGGTTGAAAAATCATTTGGTTTATAAAGTCTCATTTATGTTAGATTAAAATATTTTAATACAATATGATCTTATAAATATGGTGACATTTTACTCATTTAAATCAAGAGAAAAGGTATGGTGATTAAACCTGAAAACTTAAAAAATTTTATATATATATACGTATATATATATATACGTATATATATATATACGTATATATATATATATGTATTCACCTCCAGGGAATGCCAGGCTGACATCCACCCTTAGGCACTCTAGTTATGTCAACGCTGTCGTTTTAGAGACAAACTTGTTTTTAAAAACCGAAGTTAAGTAAGAGCCAGAGACCTTACTGAAATAAAGCAATAACCACTTAAGGATGTCCTTGAGCACAGCGACCTTGCAAAATGCAATTGTTATTAGAGAACATTGTGTGCTCAATACTTCAGCCTTGTTATTTTCATAGCACAAACCAGAAATGCCAACCTCTCTGTCTCCTAGAATTTCTGGCATGTTTATGGACGGAAACTGGCTGACAAAGCGTTCATTTTTTGTCCCCATCTTCAGTTAAACATGAAATTTGTCTGCTAATTTGATGAAGATTTCCTAAGATAGCCCCCCCCACACACACAGATTACCTATTATAAAGAGTTTTCGCCCACCTTACAGCCTTACCTGGAAAAATAGTAAAGCCATCTGTCAATGTAGCTATTAACACTAACTTCAAAATTGTTGTACCAAGGTCCGAGTGAATATAAACGTCAGAATAAAGTATTCTACCCACAACGATTCTTTTATACTATGCTTCTAAAAATTAAGCTTTTCACGTACAAATTATCAAATAAATAGCTATGCTCATTCCTAGGGAGATAAATAGCTCCAGGATTTCATTATTTTTTATAAATTTTCAAAAGAATTGGTTAAAACTCACATCTGCCTAGCAGCCCCTGACACAGCCTCTCGTCTTCCACTAAAAAACATACAAAGTTTTTTTAATGACAGTCATGATACAATTTAAAAAAGAAAAGGACTATTGCCAGAATCTGGGAGAAATTTCTTCTAACTCCAAAGTCAACTGATAGACAAAAACAAGTGACTAATGGGTGCTTTACCTCTGAAAATAATGGAGGCTTCTGTTCTAAAATACAGACAGATATCTTCATCCTTTCCCAATTTCAACCTCCTGATTCAGACTCTTTTCCATGCAGCCACTTTTCTAATGCCTGGGTAGAGGATTTTAAGACAACCAGAATATTGTTAGCCATTTCCCAGACTATTGTTAGCCATTTCTGCTTTCTCCATCTAGTTAGAAACTGCAACCCCCAGAGTGACTTGTGTACACTGCCTTCTGGGAATCTCCATTCACTGAAGTGCTGGATATAAGCACAGAGGACCCACACTGTGTAACAAGCATCCTAGGGAGCGTAGGTTTTTAAGTTTCTCCATTTGCTCAGAGTATTAGGGAATCTCAAGCCAGCAGAAGTACAGTAAGGGAAAGCTCACTAAAGCCTAAGAAGTCTGCCATAAAACTATGAAATGATGAAGAACCATATAGAAAGACAATGGGGCCATGGACATTCCACCTCCACTGTGTTAGCAACCACCAGGCCACTATTTGAGGATGAATAATGATAAAAAGGGTAAGGTTGGGGCCGGCCCCATGGCCTAGTGGTTGAGTTCAGTGCACCCCACTTTGGAGGCCCAGGTTTGATTCCTGGTTGCAGACCTACACCACTCATTGGCAGCCATGTTGTTGTGGTGACCCACATACAAAATAGAGGAAAATCGGCACAGATGTTAACTCAGGATGAATCCTCTTCAAGCAAAAAGAAGATTGGCAACAGATGTTAGCTCAGGGCAAATATTCCTCAGCCAAAAACAAAAAAAGAAAGAAAGAGTGCAGCTTATAAAAACATAATGCAGATAAGAAAAAGGAAATATCTTGAACACTCAAAGAAATCACAAATTTCTGAAATAATTTTATTGCAGGAACCAATAAGAAATCATTTTGAATACTCCGTCATCTTCATTAGGATGCTAGAATACCTGGGTTCAAATCTTGCTTACTGTCTCACCTTGGGCAAATTACTTAACCACTCTGATCTTCATTTATCTGCAAGAGAAATATGGAGGTAAAAATATCTTCTCTTACAGGGTGGTATTAAGAATTGCCTGGTATCATGTAAATGAAATGCCTTGTACAATGCTTAGAAAATGGAAGAGGGTAGCAGTAGTAGTAACAGGAGGGGAGGTGGTGGTGCTGATGGTGACAATGTTTCCAGTGGAATGAATGGATCATCAAACACACAGCTTTATACAAAGTTACCTGTGCTACAAAATATGCAGAATAAATATTATGAGTTACTAAATTGCTCTCCAGAATGATTGTTCAGTTTCTATTCCCACCAGAGATGAGTGAGAGTAGGCTTCCCAACAACCTAGCACTCTCACAAATACAGGGTAACGTTATATCTTAAATTTTATAGACAAAACTAGAATCCATTGTTTTCATCTGTATCATCTCTTTAATGGTACATGTTTAATGATTGTACTTTCTCCTTCCTGAAGTTCCTCCTCATATCCTTAGGCCATTTTCCTATGGGGTTCTTGTTCTTTTTCATTAACAATCATTTTAACATATTAAATATAGTATCTCTTTTTAATAGAAATTGAAAATATTTTCCTTAACTTACCATTTGTCTTTTACTTTTTATAGTTCTTTAAAAGTATAAAAGTTTTAAAATTTTAGATAATATCTGTTGTGCTTCTTTACCTTTAAATTTCATCTGGAATTTATTTTTAAATCAGTCGTAAGGCAGAATACTTTTGACAAATATCCATCTAATGTTCAACTCTGTTTACTAACAAATTCATTTTCTTCACCCCGATCCTAATTAGAAACGCTTCTTCTATCATATAGGAAATTACCGTGGGGTTACGTACCGACTTACCATGGGGTTACATACCGATAAACTCTTTGTAAGTTGAAAATATAGTAAGCCGAAAATGCATTTACTACACCTAATCTACCAAACATCATAACTTAGCCTAGCCTACCTTAAACATGCTCTGAACACTTATATTAGCCTACAGTTGGGCAAAATCAACTAACAAAGTCTATTTTATAATCAAGTGTTGAATATCTCATGTAGTTTATTGAATACTGTACTGAAAGTGAAAAATGGAATGGCTGTATGGGCACAGATGGTTGTAAGTGTATCAGTTGTTTACCCTCATGATTGCGTGGCACCTGGGAGGTGTGGCTCACTGCTGTTGCCCAGCATCACGTGGGAATATCATACTGCATATTGCTAGCCTGAGGAAAGATCAAAATTCAAAATTTGAATCATGGTTTCTACTGAATGCGAATCACTTTCACTCCATCATAAAGTCAAAAAATCTCAAGTCGAACCATTGTAAGGTGGGGGCTGTCGGCATATACATATATACACACATATATATGCACGTATATTTACACACACACGTGTGTGTATGTTTTTACACTTCTATTTACTCTATTTTTCTATGGTTTAAAAGTAAAAAATAGGAAATTATCTAAAAGTCCAAGATCGGATAGATTAAATAAATTACATTATTTCTATAAAACAGAATCTTAGGCAAATCCAAAATGTGGCAGAGCTACATGTATTGACATGACAAGATGTCTGTGCTATATTAAATTCTTTTAAAAATCAGGTTAAACAGAAGTAGGCTATATAGTTACCCTCTCTTATAGTAAAACTTTTATTAAATTACATCACTACATCATTGTGATAATGGTGCAGAAATAAATAACAATGAGAGCCTGAAAGCAGATACTAGCATTTTTTAAAGTAATAAATGATTTAAAAATTCAAGTTGAACAAACTAGCTACATTTTCATCTAACAAAGACTTCAAATATCCAGCTTTGACAAGAGTGTAAAAGTGTAAATTGAAAAATTTCTGGAGATCAATTAGACAAAATGTATCAAAATTTTCAACGTGGACTTTTTTGACACAGCTATTTCACATTTAAACGACCTTAAAGTATTAATAGTCCAGGTGCATGAATAATGTGTGTTCAAGGATGTGTTTTCAGTAGACAATGGGCAATAACCTCTTTATCCATCAAGATGGAATTCGGTACATATGATGGTTCAGCTACACAATGGAGTTCTACGCACCCACTAAGAATTACAAAGTTTATTGTGGGCCGGCCCGTGGCTTAGCGGTTAAGTGCGCGCGCTCCGCTACTGGATCCCCGGCGCGCACCGACACACCACTTCTCCGGCCATGCTGAGGCCGCGTCCCACATACAGCAACTAGAAGGATGTGCAACTATGACATACAACTATCTACTGGGGCCTTGGGGAGAAAAAGGAGAAAAAAAAAAAGAGGAAGCGGATTGGCAATAGATGTTAGCTCAGGACTGATCTTCCTCACAAAAAACAAACAAAAAATAAAAAAAAGTTTATTAATGTATTATTATCACATTAATAAATGCCCATGATATATAGTTAAGCTTAAAAAGCAAACTATTAGACACCAACTATACTGCGTTCCCTTAGATGTCTTTATATGTGTGTTTAAGAATATGAAGACAAAAAATTGGAATGATATACACCTAATATTAATAGTAGTGGAATCACGAACTATCAGTGGAAGAAAAACTCTCTCCACAACACTCCGCAAGGGAACATGAAAGCCTGTGCAGATTTGGAAATCTGACAGCCCCAGATTCAGAAAGAGAGAGGTGTATCACTCGGGGAGGGGCACAGATAGGGTGTGAGATTGAACCCTGTGGGCAAGAGTAGAATCTCCTTAAATAACAGTAGCAAGTCACAAAGCAAAGGCTCATAGAAGTTGACATTTTCAGGAAAAGAAGAGAATTACAGATGCAGAAGGAAATCAAGAACTTGGGGTCCCCATAGGGGTCTATAGGAGTGTTTATGTCATGGACTCAGGGAACAGTCACCCTGAAGGTGAAGTTTTCACTTCTTTTCTTCACATATTGCAGTTCCCTTTAATTTCTCTTACCATTTACACAGTTTGTGTGAGGTCACAATGGAGGAAAGTGAGACTGGCCCCAGGGTCACCACCTCCAATCCCCGACATCACCCATCTGTCTGCCATTGGAGACCTGTGAAAGGAGAGCCACACCACCCATGCATTCCAGGCTGGGATGGGAAGTCAACTGAAAGGTTGCCCATGTGGTGTGGAACAAATACCACAGAGGAGCAGGGCTCAAGCGGAGGACTCAGGGGTGGATGGGAGGCAATCTCCATTACCTCCCCAAATCTGAGAGGGAAAGGACTTCCGATATCATGGGGGAAGATGACACTTGGTAATACAGCAAAGCAGAGACAAGTTGCATGGTTTCGGTTCCTGATTCTGTCACTAGGAGCTGTGTGATGTTGGTCAAGTTACTTAACCTTTCTAGGCCTCTGTTTTCTCATTTGTAAATTGGGGATTAGAATAGCCTTGTTGCATAGGGCTGTTATAAGTATAAAATGTGCTGATATTCTCAGTATGGTGTCTGGAATGCAGTAAATGATGAGTGTGTTACTTATTGTCCTTAAATTAATTATTATAACTAAAACTTTTCTGTATTATTTGAATCTTTTTAATGACCATATACTTCTTTTAAAATCATAAAACTATAAAAAATATATATTTACCTGTATTATCCACGTACTATGTTCCAAGTCTGGATTGTACAACAGTGTGAATGTACTAAATGTCACTGAATTCTACACTTTAAAATGCTAATAATGGTAAAATACACATAAAATGAAATTCACCACTTAAACTATTTTGAAGTGCAGAATTCAATGACATTTAGCACATTCACTCTGTTGTATAATTATCACCACTATCTATTTCCAGAACATTTTAATCACTCCAAAAGGAAACCCCATACTCATTAAGCAATCATTTCTCATTCCCCTTTCCTCCAGGTCCTGGCAGCCACTAATCTGCTTTCTGTCCCTATTTGCCTATTCTGGATATTTCATATCAATGGAATCATACAATATGTGGCCTTTTGTGTATGGCTTCTTTCATTTAGTATCATTTTTTTCAAGGTTCATCTATGTTGTAGCATGTATCACTACTTTATTCCTTTTATGGCTGAATAATATTCCATCACATGGACAAACCATATTTTGTTTATCCATTCATCAGTTGATGGGCATTTGGATTGTTTCCATCTTCTGACTATTGTGAATAGGGCTGCAATAAACATGTGTGTACATGTATTTGTTTGGGTACCTGTTCTCAATTTTTGTTGGGTGTATACAGGAGGGGAATTGCTAGGTCATATGGTAATGCTATGTTTAACTTATTGAAGATCCAAAGTCTATTTTTAAGTAAAGAAATTAATTGCATAATAATATGAACGCAGTGGAGAGTAATGGAGCCAGACAGCAGGGGTTTGAATCCTGGATCCACCGTTTGCTAGTTTTGTCACCTTCGGAAACCTTCCTCTCTATGCCCCCATTTCCTCATCTGTCAATTGACAGTAATAATAATCCCTATCCCACTGAGTTGTAGTATAATTAAAACAGTGCTAAGCACATGGTGTTACCTATTATTGTTTTGGTTTGATCCTATTTGTGTGGGTGTATAGACTATATATATAATTGTTTGCATCAAACAGTTAAGACTGGTTACCTTTCAGAAGTGGATTTGAGGGATAAATGATAGGATTATGTCTTTTTTTAATTTTGTTTGTGTATTTTCTTTCTATGAGTATGTCTTAGTTTTCACAATATTTTTAAACTAATGAGGTTTTCTTCTTGAGATGCATTGTGACCCACTGTCCCACTCACTCACTTAAAACCCCTCAGTGATCCTACAGCAATGGTTCCCAAAGGCCTTCATGCTGACTGGCCACATCAAGTAACCTGAAGAGTTTATCAGAAATACAGATTCCCCAGGCTCAAACAGGACCTACTGAATCACAATTTCTGGTTGGTTCTGATGTGCCAAGATGTCTGAGAACCACTGTGTTCAAACTCCTTCCATGACCTGGCCTCTCCCTACCTGCAGTTTCAGTCTTCCCCTTTCCCTTCCTAATAAAACGGAACTTCTCACCTCTTACAGGACATAATCTTCTACGCCTCAGGCTGTTCCTTTGCCTGGAACACATGCTCTGCCTAACTTCAATTCTTTGAATTACTAATTCCTCTTTATTCTTCAATACTCAGCTCAAGCATTGTCTCCTCCAAGACCCATTGTCCATCAAATGAAGTGTATCCAACAAATGAACGAATGAAGTAAATTTCCATTCTTATGGTCTCCCAGACATTCTGTAGCAGTAGCTTAAAAATGTCTTCTCCACATTACATTGAAACCATCTCTTTCCATGTCTATTTCTGCTTCTACCCAGCTGAGGTCTTGAGGACAGAGCCTATGTGCTGTGTAGTAATTCCTAACTCAAGATTTTACCATGAAATAACTATTTCCATTTCATAATGGATATTTCAAAATATTTTTTGAAAACGTGATTCTCAAATTAACAATAAACTATGTAGCATATTACACAGCACAGAGAACACTGGTTCAGTTTTTCCAAATTCGTGTTTAATATATGCATGCACAACATATATGTGCATGTGCGTAAAATACTTTTGAGTTAAAATAACCTGTGAAGC